CCCCAAAATTTAAAGACCCAATCCAGAAATGGGCATCCGAGATGAACACACACTTCTCAGAGGAAGATATTAAACAAGCGAATAAATATATGAAAAAATGCTCCACATCACTAGCCATCCATGAAATGCAAATTGAAACAACATTGAGATATCGTCTTACCCCAGAAAGAATGGCTATCATAAAGAAATCACCCAACAACAAATGTTGAAGAGGCTGTGGGAAAAAGGAACCCTTTTCCACTGCTGATAGGAATGTAGACTGGTGTAACCATTATGAAAATCAGTGTGGAGACTCCTTCGAAAAGTTGGAATGGAAATCCCATTTAAACCAGCAATTCCTCTGCTGGGAATTTTCCCAGAGGATCTGAAAACATCATATCATAGTGATATATCTGTGTCTATGTTTATAGCAGCACAATTTGTGATAGCCAAATCTTGGAAACAACCAAGATACCCATCACCTGAGGAATGGTTGAAAAAATGTAGTATTTTTATACAATGAAGTATTATTCAGCTATTAAGAATGATAAACTCTAAGCCTTTATATTGAAATGGATGCCACTTGAACATATACTCAAAAGTGATGTAAACCAGACACACATGTATAAATATCGTATAGTCTCCCTAGTATAAGAACTCGAAAGAAGAAATAATAGAAAGATATAATACAAGTAAAAGGAAAGCAGATCTTAAGGACTAACTAATCAAGAGAGGGAATGGAGGAAAGCTAGGGAACATGAAGAAGTCAAGCCATACAGTTGTATGTACAAGATGGGCAAGGCAATGATCCTGAGAATCTTCAGAAGATTTTTTAATCTAGTAGTTTATTGGAAAGATTCTCACCTTGACTAACTATATATACTAATACCTGTGAACTAAGCTACTGCACTGCAGATGGTAATTTGTAATAGTAGTTTCATGCTTGGAGTGCCTGTCATTCTGTTATTCTGAATATGGGCTGCTTGTCATGACATGCCAGTTGCTGCTATGATGTCTCTCTGGTAGATGGTTTTTCAAGAAGAAGCAGGTGGTGAAAGAAATCAAGAGACAGGAAAAGAAATATTGTGGGACTGTCCTGATTCAAGGTTGTATATGGTGAGATTTTTGGAATTATGTGTAAACATAAGAAGTATATAATTCTTTATGCCTATTTTTAAAATATATTCTCATTTTTAAATTTTTTTTATCATATTCTGTAGGGACTTAAAGTTCAACATATCAATACTTGATGAAAATTACCTGTTCCATATTATGCCTAAGATGTTTGATATGCAGACAGATAGTGAGGTTAAGCTTAACAGCCTAAGTTGTATAGTAATAACAATAAGCTTGTCTTCTGGATGGTTAACAACCTAAGTTTGCAGACCAAAATTAGAGAAAAAGGAGGGCTGCAAGGAAAGCCAACATTTTGGCCCTAGCCTTCTAAGGTCAATTAAGACTCAGGACATATGAGAACTTGTACTGTAATGTCATTTAACTCGGTAGTGTCCCAAATTTTCTGATCAAGGAGATTATGGTGCCAAAGAGGAAAGTGATCGAAGATGTAGAGTGTGCCAAAGGAGAGTCACATGGAGAGAAAACATTCTCTCAGGCTTTCATAGACAGCACCCTGGCCAAGCAATGGACATGACTCATCCACATGGCTGACACTGACAAAAGTTCTACAATCTGAGGTACAGAATCTCAGGATAAATCCTGAGGGGATTTCACTGACCTTATCAGACCCAAAAGCTACAACTTTTGTTGCATAGGTCCTGCTTTACCTTGGTCATAACCATCCAGCAGAAAAGTATAAAAACGAAATATAAGAATTAAAGCCATGCTGTTATGTTGAGCTGTAGGGGACTCAGGTCAACAATTTCTGACATTGCCAATCAAGTGGAAGACCCAATACTATTATAGGCTACTGGACTCTTTTAGAATATTTTGCTGAGTTTACACACCTACAATATTCAAATAACGGAACTTAACAAAAAATGGGGATACAGATGAATGTCCATTTTGTATCTGTGTATTCAAAGTGGTTAGAATAGATATATAGTTACATTCTCTTAATGAATAGAGTGATTTGTTCTAGTGGTGTTTGTAAATAGGATATCATGTCCGCATTTTGTACAGCAATTAACCACTAGGAAGAATGTATGAAATGTGTTAATTATTGAAACTGTCCTACCAATTTGATTTGAAACTGTCTCATTGCTATTTGTTTCTCAATAAAATTATTGGAAAAAAATAAAGTATTTCACTCTATGAAAAAGAATTAAGGAATGTTGTAAGACCAGAAACTAATAAAGATATCACATACTTTAGAGATTTACCACTTGCTTTTTATAGCTTTATTGACTATTACCAAGTTTTAATATGTTTCAAATAATTAAATACTGCAACTGGGACATTAAAAATACAAACTAATTTACCAAAATAATTGTATTCTGAATATTATGTACAATATTATACATTTTACATTACACGAAAAGTTTTTATACATAAAGGTAAGATTTGATTTATGATTATTGGAAATCCAAAATATAGTTGAACAAAATATTCCTATGAATACATACATAAATTGCTCACTGGGGATAATCAAAACCATTCATGAGTATGGTTATTAAAAAGCGAAATTACATTCATACAAAAATGGCAGAAAATGAAATTTGTTTATATTATTTTGGAAGTGTTATTTAAAAACCACACACATGAATTGCATAACTTAGTTCTATATATTTAAAATTTTTGTTCACACCTTCAATGTGTCTTTATTTCTGTGGAAAATTTCCTTTTTATTTCTCTTTTTAAAAGTACTTATGAGAACTCATATTCATTAAAATACCTTGTACACTGGAAGAAGGCAAAATGACCCTCAGCAACACAAATGCCACAAGGGTCTATCATAGAGGCAAACATATATATTTTTTGCAGGGTAATGCAGTTTTCACTATAGAAGTCATTCATGTCCTTGGTTAGCTTAATTTCTATATCATTTGTTGTGAGGTTAGGTGCACCTTCATATTCATAACTGTTGTAAAAGAGACTATGTTGAGGCACAGAGCTTAAAGGAGAAATGCATATTACTGTGACGAGCCAGCTACTGAAATAAACACATAACTAGGTGATTTTCAAAAACATATTGTGAATAGGTGTCCACATAGAAAATACCATACGTGCCCACTAGTCTGTCCTCACTCCTTAAAAAAGGCTAAAACACTAATGTGTCATATCTTTTTTTGTTTTGTTTTGTTTTTTCAGAACCGGGAATTGAACTCGGTCCCTTGCTCTTGCCAGGGAAGCACTTATTCCACTGAGCCATCTCCCTGGCCCCTCATATCTTTTTTTGAACAGTGAGATACTGTTCGTATTTAGGATACTTCCATATGAGTTTTAGTGCTATCTCACGTTCAATATTCCTTTTAGGCAAAATAACTGCAATTTTAAGTAATACCATATATGTTTCTAACAGATCTAAAAAATTTGAAAAACATGGTCTTTACTCTGTGACAAAAATGGATTTCTAATTGCATGTCTCACTGAACACAGACCTCATCCAAGGATGTAGACTGGCAAGAATTTTAGACCTGTACAGAAGAACCTCAAAGGCCGCAAGTAGTAGACTAGCCATTCCCTTAAAGTGTGCCCAGCATTTTGCCACATTCCTGCTTATAAAATCTCACATTTTATCAAAGGCAAATAGAACACGGAAAACAAGCACCAAGAAAGTAACAACTTGAGACACAAACAAAAGCACTGCTCTTTCCGACTTCATATGACCCATGACATGTAAGATTCAGGGCCTAAGGTCCATTTAGGGTTATTGGTTTTCTTCTTGTACATGTTCAGCTTGAATATAAAAGAAGTTCTAACCTAAGTTATCAAAATATATTCATATAAATGTATGAGCATTTCTAATAAAAAAGTTTAAAAAGTCTAAATTCTCAATTTTTGCAATTAAATATCCTAGAGTCCAGTAGGCAGATTGATTTTGAAGTAGCTTGAGGCCAATTTGATGGCCGAGCACTGCCTGGGAACCGGGCACAGCTACATTTCCGCTCTCCGGTGGGATTTCTCAGGGCCAGCAGCCCTGTCCTCCTCCTCCTCTTCCTCCTCTTCATAGTGCTCCTCCCCACCTTTGGGGTGGTTGTCCTCTTGGACTTCTTGTTCTTCTCCATCAGGGTTTTTAACATCAGCCTGAAAGTGAGAAGAAAAGAGAAATACTAAGAAACGCTACATGGAGCCAGTGATTCCTAATTCTTTGTTTTAGAAAAGGATGCAAAGGCCTTCACTTCCAGAAGAAAGAAAATGTGAGAAAAAAGTGATCCAACAAGAGGCGGTGCTACAGCCTCTCCGAATCTTCGCGGTCTCACACTGTCCTGGGGTAGGCGGGCTGGTGACATTCAGTGGCACCTTACACAGGCCAACCCTGATGGGTGCCAGGACTGTATATACATCTCCGTGTCCTACAGAATGCACCACCCCGCACCCAACCCACAAGAGCGCAGTGGGAAGGAGCTCGCTACACGTACATTTTCGTCATTTTCCCCGTAGGTCTCCTCAGCAGTACGCTCCAGTTCCCTTTTTTTCTCTTCAGTCAAATCTTCCTGAACCTGAAACAAACCACAGACGACATGAGAGGCTTTCAGCACTTCAGGGACATGTTTGAATGGCCAAATGGTCAATCAAAAATAACAGGAACAAAGTTAAACTAAATGCAAACATAAAAAAAGGTGAAAGTAAAAGTGCATTATTAGTATGAAGAAATGTATAATATATATCACAAAAATCAATGATTCTGAATCTAACACTTTTATGTTTGAATTTCTGATGTCTTTGAATGAGGATTAACTATGTAAGGACAATGCCTGGTGAGATCCAGCTTAAGAAATTAAGCATTCCCCTTTCTAAGAGGAAGAATTATAGGAATGCATAAGTGATGACAGACTATAAACTCTATGAAGTTCTATGAGGCTCAGCTCCCTCTGTCTTCAATGAGTAGAGGCACCTCAGGCACATGAAAATTGCTTAATAAGTATCGTAGAATAAGTAGGTCATTCACTGAATAAATACATGCAAAAAATATCTTCTCCTAATGCACAACACACATGCCACTGCCTGTATGTAATGTAGTAAAAATTGATATATCTGCTCTATAATTAAGAATAAATATTTCTGGCTAAAATATCTAGCCAGTAGAATAATCATTTCAGTTTCTTCATGTAATAATCCAATGAACTCCTTCAAATTCTCACCTAATACAGTTATTTTAGTTTTCCATTACGTACACTGTTACTACTATCTCACTGATCGCGATTCTTCATCTCGAAACGCAAATCAAAGAAAGCATCAAAATATTTTTTGAAATGATATCTATATAATGTTCATGTCTTATACAAACATAAGGTAAAAAGTTCTTTAACTTGCTACTCTGAAAACCTTCTATATGTCAAAAAGCTTAAGTCATTTAAATAAATTTCAAAACACTGCTAACCATCAGTTAGGCAAAAAGCAGTGTCCAGGCAGTCTCCCACACACCCACGTGCCTAATAATGAAAACATTCCGCAGGACACTGTGATGAAGACAAAGAAGTACTTTTCACACTGTATTACGATGTCACGAACTGAAGAGTCCTCGTCTACTTCAATGAACAAAGACATGTCTCCCACATACCCACTTGCTTAATAATGAAAACATTATTTGGGAATGCTGAACATGGTGCAGCTGATATGTATTCTACAATACTTATGATTAAGAAGTTTAATCATTCCTAGGACAATTGTATTACTGTAAATCTTGATAACCCCCTGTATACACACACACACACACACACACACACACACACGAAAACAATAAAACAAACAAAAAAAAAAAACCCACAAGATTTTTTGGACTTTCAGGGGGATAGCTATTTTTTTTTTCTTTTCTTTTCCTTTCTTTTTTGAAGAACTGGGGATTGAATTTAGGCCCTTGCACTTACAAGGTAAGCATTTATTCTACTGAGCTATCTCATCGGCCCCTAGGGGAATAGCTATTGAAAATCTGAGAAATAGGCAGTGGATAAAAAATATGTAAGGGTTGCAAATAAAGAGAAACAAATAAAAGGCTATCTCCATGTATCCAGACCAGGTGAGACAGAAAGGAAGGGCAACTTCCCAGGTGCATTTTGTATAGAACGTGGTCTATCAGAAACTAGCAAAGGTGACCCTTTAATGATGCAGGAGACAGAGCTAAGCATTCTCAGAGCTTTTCTCACCAACCCAGGATCAGCTGTGTCCAGAGCCCCAAATAAACACAATTCAAGATGGAGGTATATAGCTCCTTTTATATTCACATTCCTGGTAATGTGAGCCAAGGACACTCCTCCACCTTAGGGCTCTATTAGTGGCTTATGACATCTCCTCTGCCATTAATCACAGAACCTCACAGTAACATTCCACGGGACACTGTGATAAAGACATAGACGTACTTATTTCACACTGTATTACGATGTCACTAACTGAAGAGTCCCCGTCTACTTCAGTGAACAAAGACATGTCTACCACATACCCACACGCTTAATAATGAAAACATTATTTGGGAATGCTGAACATGGTGTAGTTGAGAATTGGAAGGAACTGCCTTGAAATACGCAGCATTGTGGAAAGAATTCATAAATCTGGAGGAAGCAAACTTCTTACGTTAAGGCCCAGCGAGTAATTATTTATGGTTTTCTGGGGCCTAATGTCTAGGGCAAAACTGCACAACTCCAACAATGTATCACAAAAACAGCTGGAACAAAATGTAGGCAAATGTGCATAACTTTGTTGCAGCAAGACGCAGTCTATAAAATAGGTCCCAGCCCATAGCTGCTGAGCTCCAAGCATCGGCAGTGTGTCAGACAACTGTGCACCCAAACCTTGAGTCTGCGACTTTGCTGACTGTCCAACGTGAAGTGCATTGGTTTTATTATGAAGATTTTCAAGAATGCAAGAAATAAAGAAAATGCACATAAAAATATCATTGAATAAATATAGCCAGCAATAATGTTCAAGGTATTTCAATAGCATATATTGAAATAATATATTAATATTATATCACACTTGTGTGTCATCTATAATGTTTCTCTTCTCATTGAACTATTCTAAAAATTTCTAGACATAATGTAATTTCACTTTCACACATCACAGTACAGATATCTAAAGGCAGAGGGCATCTTATGTAACCATAAATCTATTACTGTACCTGACAAATCCATGATATCTATCTTTAATATCTTTTTGCAGCTATTTTTTATTATTCATTTTAATGGGAAAAAAATAAAATAGCAATGAAACAGTTTCAAGAACAGTAGGACAGTTACAATAATTAATACATTGCATGTTGTAGCTATGTTTTTTTAAAAAATCATTATCTAAACAAGGACAAATCCAAAAGAGGCTTCCCTCCATTTCTTTTTCCATGATCCAGTCAACATGCTCTACAGAGGAACGCACATTCTGGATCTACTTACTTTGTACAGCATTACTTCACTTGGCCCCCTACCGGCTACAAACAGAAATTAGCTTGAAAGCATGAATAAATTCAGGCTCAACTTAAAAATCATGGGCATCTCAGAGGGGTTGGAGGCACACAATTTGACTGTCATTCTTTCTGTCAGGCTGAGGTTGGTTAGTGAGCTCGGATGGGGACAGCCTGGACCCTTCTTGGTCAAGCTCCCTGACCTGCACAATGATTATCATCATCTGAGGACTGGTGCTTAAAATCAACTGTCTTATTTCATGGTTCCAAACCTGGAGCTTTCTTATTCCACCGTCCTTTTTACATTTACTCACTTTATCTATGGAAGAACGCTCCCCAGTCCACTCCATGCCTACCAGGACCTACATTTAATAATGACATTCTCTAAGGTCAGATCTCAGTGCTCTCTGCTTCTGACTAACATTAATAATAAACTGATTCACCTTGAAAAATTTAACCTCTCTGAAGCTCCAATTTCTTATGTGTAAAACAAAAACATTGGGTATGGGCTTGAACATGAATCCTCTCAAGCCTTGGGTGAGAGTCCCTAGCAAATGGGCAAGACACACAGCATTCCACAGAAGTGAAGCAGGCTCCCACTCCCCTAGTTCCATCCATGGCTGTGTGCCCAAGACTATTTACCTAAAGAAGGTATAAGAGCAACTCCCACTTCTGCTGGGAGGGCCCCTAGGGGCAGTTCTGAAGCACCCTGCTTCCTAGGCCCCATAGCAGATAAGATCAAAATATCCAAGGGTAAGGTCCAGTCTGGGGAAGGTTTTGTATTTTTCATAAACTTTTCAAGGTGATTCATAGACACAGCAGAAAATGAGGACAACTTCCCTGGGTAAAAGAGGTCACACAGTGTGAAGATTGTCTGGCTTGCGGATAATCACCCATCTAGAAGATACTCTTCTCTATTCTTGAGATGAACATCAGAAAATTTAGCTGACTTGACAGTTGTCAATATAATCTTATTTGCAAATTACTGCTTTAAATTACTGTGTAATTTAGGGACCCTAAAAATGAATATTCTGTAATTTTCCAGTCATACAAAAAAAGCTTTGTACAGACATTATTTTAGTAATATATGTTTCATTTTTGAGAGCAAAAGCAATTCCAGTTCCACTTACAAGCATTAGTCAAAAGGAACCAAATGATGTGGCCCTTCTAACTGGTCTTTAAAATATACTTAGACAGGGGCCAGAAGCAAAGTGTGATCCTTTCAGAGTGTAGACGCACCGATTACGTCTACACTGACTCTCTTCTGTATCCTGCTGGAGCTGATGTGACACTTTGCCAAAGATTTTCTTACACTGCTTCTCATGACATGCTTTTCTCTACTAAAATCTTATGTTTCAGGCATTTGGGAAATTAACCCTATGCGATGGGGTAATGTGTAATAAAAGCCCAAAACAAAATAAAATAAATCACTGAATCTTAAACAGGCTTTGGCTGGCCACCCTAGCCCTGCTCTGTCCTAACACCTTTGTTTTACATGTGGGAGACGCTCTGCGTGAACCATGAACCGGTAACCTGAACCTTAGTCAAGAACGCCAGCAACACAAGGGTGGGTGGCACATGACAAAAGCAAAGCAGCAGCATTAGCTGAAGTGATGGGCATGCTGCTTGCTCAGGGGTGCTTGCTAGGAGACCTCATGACAGGGTAAGGCTCCCAGATCCAGCAGCTCCCAGACCGCAGTCTTGAGTACTACGTGCAAGTATCCAGCCGCTGAAGGAGAACAGGACCCTGTACTCGTGCTCTCCAACACGTTCAAATAAATCTTTTCCATTACATTGGAAAATTAATGTATTCAGATGTTTCAATCATCTATCTACTTTTGAGTCCTCAATAATTTGAAGGGACGCATGGCAATCTTTTGGCAATGTCATAACTTGTTTTCTTTCCTCAAAATAGGTAAGCTGGGTGGTAGGTAGGACCTTTTAGCAATGTCTTCCACAGTGACAATACCAAACAAGAACAGCTGGTCAATACTGTTGCACAAAATAGGCAGCAACAGCGCCAGTTTCCTAAGATCACACTTGTTTTGGGTCCTTGCAAATTCAAGCCCACGTAAGTCTGACAGTTGTGCCTCTGCACAGCTATAGCCTGGCAGGAGACATGGGCAGCTCCTCCCAGAGCAATTGCGGGTGGCAGAAGTCTGACTGGGTTCATCGACCAGTGAGAACAAGGACAGCTGAGAGCTGCAGCCTGCAGTAAGTGGGGCAGCTGGTAAACTCCAAGATCTAATGGAGACAAGAGTGGCACCCGGTTACAACCTCCTGTGGTTTTCAGAGTGCTTCCCCAAAGGGCATCCCAGACACACACACGCTTGCAAAGGATGCAGAACATGTTTCTATTTTCCTGTTCCCACTTGTTTGGCGAATACTTCATCTCTATCACTAAAGCTTGTATGGTATTTGGCAACCAATCTTTCCCACTGTGTAGGGAACAGCTGGTAAAGATGGAAAGATGTGAGAAAATGCAAAAATTCATCCTTTCAGGAAAGACCTGAGAAACAACACTGCCTGAACATGCTAGGGAGGGCTCAAAGACACGCTGGGAAGAAGAAAGGCTCAACAGACTTTCTATGAGTTTCTCAGGGTAACAATCCTGAGTGATGAGATGGCAGCCTTGAGCCTATAGAAGAAGTTGAGAACTGGGGACACAAACACTATTAGAAGAATTCTGAGCAGGAAACCAACCAGGGTAAAACAAGCAGGACCCAGTGCTCAGTGCAAGAAGGGGAAAAGAGCTCTTGTCAGCTCAATGGACATCTGAAGGTGGAAACAAGGAGGCCAGAGGAGGGAGCCACTAGTTTAAGGCTGCAGCAGTGGGGGTAACCTGGCCACCTTCCCCTGCCCTGTACAGTCTTTGTTTTGTTGATCCCAGGATTCTCTCCACCACAAGTGATGATAATATAGAACAGAAAAAGAACAGTAAATATGATTAAATTTGTATTTGATCCTTTTGAATTTTTTAAAAGAAGTCATGGTGAAGCTTTTTTCTCTTAATCCCTCCAGGATCCCTCCCCTCTGACCAAATGAAACAAAGTCATATTAGTCTAGACTTCTGGTTGCAAAAGAAGACTGTGTGAACAGCTCTTTCTTGCCAAATGTCTTAACATCCAAGGCTGCTGGTTTCCCCAGCGCTGTCTCTGATAAGGCAGTTTAGGGGCTTGATGAGGATGAATAGCAGGATGAGAAACAAGAGAGAATAGGAAGATCAAGCCTGGGACAGAACAGGTGACTCAGGAGGTTATCAGTGGGCAGGAAGGACAGCATCCTGTCCTGCTTTTCTGATAGAAGCACACACAGTAGCTCCGAAAAGCTGACCGTAAGAGTAAGCAGCAGCAAGCTGGCCTCAGCCAGAGCCCTGAGTGTGCATGGGACAACTCATGCTTTTGTCTTAAAGAGAAGTTTAAAAATTAAGGGAAAAAAAAACCTATTAAAGAAATACAGAATTTCAAAGCAAGATAGGAAAGTAGCAATGGTTGTTATACTTAAGATTGTTATTGTCCAAGTAGCCACTCAGATTGCCAGATACAGCTTGCAAAAGTGATCAAATAATTAAGCATTAATTGTTCCTATCAATAAACCAACAGAAAATAGTAGCACAATTATCTTAGCTATTTTGTATGTGTACATCTTTCTTTTCTCCTTTTCCCCCTCCCAGTTGTTCTTCGCTTTTGAGTAGTTTCCCTTTCACAATATGTACTGTAGCTTTTGGATTTATTTTTTTCACTTTCTTACACTAGGGGGACAATACAATGTTTACACACTTGAGTCTGATTTATTTCACTTGAGTATGGTTTCTAGTTGCATCCACTTACCTATAAAAGTCTCAAGTTTATCATTCTTTATAGCTAAGTAATACTCCACTGTATAAACATACCACATCCTTTTTCTCCATTCCTCAGTTGATAGGCATTTAAGGTGTTTCTAAGATTTAGCTGTGACAAATTACACTGCTAAAAACATGGGAGGACACATATCTCTGTGGTATGGATGTTTTCAATTTCTCTGGAAAAATACCCAGAAAGTGAATAGCTGGGTCAAATGGGACCTCGAATCCTAGTTGTGTGAGGAGTCTCCACACCGATTTCCACAGTGGTTGCACCAGCCTGCACTCCCACCAGCAGTGGCAAAAGGCTCCTTTCCCCACAGACTCATCAGCGTTTGCTATTGGGTGGTTTCCTGGTGATGCTTTCAGAGCAGGGCTTTCAGCAGGGGGCGTGTTCAAGGGTTCAGCTGGCCACAATCCAGCCTCCCAGAAGCTTCCCCTCCAGCACAAAGCTGAGGCATGCTGGTGTGAGAAGTAGCTCTGAAGCAGGGCTTCAATTTGGGCACTATTTATTGCTCTACAGAGAGACTAAAGGCAGCATGATCTGTCTCATATTCCTGAGTACTGCAGGAGTCCATGCTGGAGAAAATTACAGCAAAAGGCAGTAACAGCCAGCATTCACTCGGTGACCCACCCCAGGAAGGCAGCACCATGACAGGTGCAATACAGACCTAACTGGCAATATCCAGGAAGCTTATAATAAAAAACAAATTAAAATGAAACTATCTAAATGTATTTTCTTCATCTCTGTTCCTCAGTCCATATTTCCCTTCTCAGTTCCTATCTGCTCATCTTTTCGTTGTTTTACTTTTTTCCTGCAGCTGGAAATGGCGCAGAGCCTCAGGCCCACCAAGCAATCACTCTACGACCAAGGGACATCCCCAGCCTTATTCTAGCTAAAATATTGAATTCTGAAAGGGAAGATCAGGAGGAGTGACTACAAAATTTATAACAGTGTCCAAAGGATGTTAGTGGATCCCAGGGAACACTGGGCAGGCGTGGGGCAGGGGAGGGGTCCATGGAAGCAATCCCTCAGGGAGCACAGCTGTGTTACGCACTTTCATGAAGGAAAGAGATTGGAAAAAAGTTATAAAGAGCATATAAATATAATTCTTATACAACCAAATATCTTCTTCATTCCAAATCTCTGCAAAGCGGACCAGAAAGGTAGCTCAGCAGACTAAGAACCTGCTTAGGCAAACATAAGGACTAGGGTTCAATGCCTGGACTACATGCTGCATTGGATCTGTCCCTGGGACACACTAAGCTGGCCACCGAGCTGGGCATTGTGGCACATGCTGCTATTCCCAGCACTGGGGAGGTGGAAAACAGGAGGATCACCACAAGTCTGAGCTGCACAGTGAGACCCTGTACCAAATACATTTAAAAAACAATCTCTGAAAAGAACCAAAGAGATAGATTCTATTATCATTCTGTCGCCTCCTAATGAAATGGTCCTACCACCCTTTATTGTGCTGCATAAACTTTTCTGAACAGTTTTGTAGCAAGTATGTCAAGTTAATACTGCTGAGGTTTGTGTAAGGCTAGGTGACAGACGCCGCAACAGTCTGATCAGTGTCCTGCGATTTTACTACCTCCTCTTCTCCCTCTTCCTGGTACTGCTCGTCAACATTATCCTCCTGCTGGTCTGGATTTCCTGCCATCTGTCAAGACAAAAGAGGAGGCCCATGTTACTGTACATCGGAGATGCCTTTCACAGTGCCCTGGGACAGAGAATAAGCTCGCCACCATGGAAGTCACTCGCAGGGCCAGGAAACGATGAATAATCATTTCTAACCCAGAGCACAGGAAGTCCAAAGCCCACACTTTCTCTGAGTGTCCGCAGAGCATTTCAGATAATGGCATAAACCCCAGAACACCTTTTGCTTGAGCCAGGCGTTCACTAAAATACGAAGGTTAAATGCGTCACTGGTAGTGGCATCTGCTTACCACCAAATGCTCCCCCATTTCAGCCTCCGCTTGCTTCTGATCAGTTCGTTTTTGTTCTTCGTTTTCATCAGGCAAGTTTTCGTCTCTCACTTGCTCGGCTTCTTCAAATTCATCTTCACCTTGATTATTTGGGTCATCTGCTGGGTTTATATCCTCCACAGCTGCCCTCTACAAATTTAATGAAAATCAACACTTCAAAACTGGGGACAAAGTACAATTTCATTTAAAAAGCTACACACAGATAAAAAGGGAAACTGTTCTCCATGGATTGTTCAGGCCCACCCTGGCCAAGACCCACAAGGATCGAGCACCTCACTGTCAGAAGATAAAGTCCTACTCTGCTTATCCAAGGTTGAGCACCAGGAATGAAGCACAGATATTTCCTTTCTCCAAGTGATTTCAACATGGTCCTCAAAACTCTGCTAACACAACTATCGTGAGCAAAATGGAATAAACAAAAAGAAAAAATAGTTAATAAGTCAAAGAACCAAGGAGGAGAAAAACATCAAGATAAATGAGGATGGGAGCTTTATTTACTTATTTATTATTTTCAGGCATTTGGTACAGAGTCTCACTACACAGCTCAGACTCAGTGATCCTCCTGTTTTCAGCCTCCCCAGTGCTGGGATTACAGGTGTGCACCACCATGCCTAGCCTTGGTGGCCAGCTCAGCACACCCTGGGGGAGGGGCCAGCGTGGCATGTGGTGCCAGGATGGAACCCCAGTCCCTGTACTTGCCTAAGCGGACGCTTAGTCTGCTGAGCTATTTTGTGGGCCCTGAATGTAAGCTTCAGATGGGCAAACTGGAACTCCTTTATCTGCTGCACTGGCTTTCATACTGACAGCTTGGCTTTGTGAGAAAATTTTAACTTTTTAAAAGTTTTTCTTTCTTTCTTCTTCTTTTTTTTTTTTTGTTGCAGTACCAGGGTTTGGACTCCAGACCTTGTGCTTGCCAGGCAGCTGACTATGCCTCTGAGCTGTATCCCCAGCCCCTGTGAGAAATTTTTAAAAGGCAAATGATGAAAGCAGTTGATAGGAAAGACCAGAAATGACCTATTAAGAGATTCTGAGAAAGACAGACAAGGAAAGGGCTAACTCTAAAGCAGGCCATCCTTTCGTAATGTGGACCTAAATTCTTTATTAACAAACACTACGAGGAAACTGAGAGCTGCTGTACTGTCAAGGGATGAAACAGGAGCCACTTAGTCTTTGAATATATATTATGAAAAATACTCTCCGAACCCCACCCTTAGTAGTTTTCAATTACTGAGTTCAACAAAGGCCATGCAAAGGATTCACTTTAGAATTCCACTTTAGAATTTTCCACTCAAGTTCCTAAACAATATAAATCCTCACAAAGATTCAGGCTCTACAGCCTGCAATGGGTAGCAACGGCCATGCTTAGTATGAGTTCCCTACGCGCTCCAGGTCATCTATGGGACACTCCCTCAGGAGACAAGTGCTCCCAAGAGCTGTGGAAGCCAGAGTAGGACTCGGTCTCCCCCACTGCTCTCCAAGGGAGAGTCTACTTCTCTTCGCTCAGGAGCCTGGAACATGTTCAAGAGCTCACTGCAGTCTCAGCGCATCTATGATCCACACATCCCTGGCGGTAAACTTCATTCAAGTGAGAATGACACTCTCCTCAGGAATGGTGAGTGCGAAGCGCTGCCTTCACACTAAACTCCACTCCACACATTCTTGTCATACAGATTTCCATTTATGTGCTATCAGTGACTTATGTGAGAATAGAGGCAAAATGTAACCTCTTCTTTTCAGAAACATGTGCTTCTTGTAACAGTTTCCAAAAATGTACACACTGCACCAACTCCAACCAAATAATCAGTAAGGAAATACATACACATGATAATTAAGACAGTTATATTACTAAATGCTATTAGCTCATTAAAAGGAAAGTTATATATCTGTTTTGTTTGCTCCATTTTTCATGTCAGTATCTTGAATTATGAGCAACTACTTTGAAGATAGCAAGGCACAATGTACTGAATATCATTGACCTACAGTTTTGTTCTGAAATCTTATACCATTGTTTTTATTGTTCATTTTTCTTTTCTTTAAAATTAAAAAAAAATTAAAGGGTTAACAGATATAATCACCTAATTTATAATAGCTAAGGCAGCAAGGGACAGATTGGTCCAACAATTCTAAGGCAGCAAGGGACAGATTGACAAAGGCTAATAATTTATTTTTAAAAGAATACCTGGCAGAAAAGCCAGGTTTCCTAGGATGTTTCTCAGAATAAAAAGATAACAGGGCAGTAAAAGATCACACAGGCAAGTAATTTTTAAAGCCTGTGGCAGTTCACAAGTTCAAGGGACTGCAGTACCCACCCCTCCCCTCTCTCCCTCGTCCCAGGCATTATACACTTGTGTCCTTGCTTTTGTGGGCCATTCTCCTGTTCTCTCAAGGTTTCTTGCCAGCTCTTGCTCTTTCCTGAAAATGTTTCAAGGCTGGGCCCCTCCTGGATGCTTTCTTAAACACTCTGGTCTCCTGTCCACCTTCCACACTTGCCTTCCCCATCTCCTTCACCTTTCAGCATTACTAAATGTCCCAATCCCTCTCCATCCTGTTTTGCCTAGGCTTTAGTTTAACTGATCTGAAACTGTTGGAGGGAGATGCTTTTCTTTCTTTCTCAGAGAAACCTTTGGCCAGTTTCATCACACAAATCTACATCCGGAGTGATGGTTTTTAATACTTTCGTGTGTAACTGTGCAAGCTGCCTTCCTCTCTGCTGAAGAAATAAAATACTATGTAGGGCCAGAAGTCTGAATCAGACATGGTGTCCTTTCTCCTTCCTGCCTGATGAGCTTCTAGGTGCTAGGACCAGAAGCGAGGGCACTTACATGTGCCTCAGATTCGGGGTCGGCTTCTCGGGACCCTTGCTCGCGGGGCTCATGCCGGTTACCAAGGTCTCCTTCGGCTTCATCTTGGTGCTGGTTTTCTCTTTCATAGGCTAGCAAATCGAAGAACAGAGATCAAAATGCATCCAATAGGGTTTTCCCCCTTTGAATTCAAAGCAACTGCAACTGTGGGCCTTCCCGGAGGTCATATCCCCCAATCTCACCTCCGGCGCAGCTAACTCCATGCACACCACCCCAACTTTGCTGAATAATTTTGTCTTTTCCAAGACTTTGTGTCTAAAGAGATAGTCTAAAGGACTGACTTCATTCCACCCTTGTAAAACAAGTGTCTTTAACAGAGGTTGCATTTTTCCCTATGTTACACAAGAAAACATAAATAAAACAAAGTCTAGACCTCAAGACATTGCTAACATAATCCACTAAGTTTTGGTTAATACCAGAGAAGACAATAAGTTTTAAAAGAAAAAATGCCACTAGGAAATGAGAGAAAAAATAAATAAGAAAACATAACACCTCAGTGATGGAGCTCAAAAGTACAAACAGAGCCCCACGCAGCCCCCTGCACTGAAGGGGGAAGAGGCGAGAAGAGCTGCGTGGCAGGAGGAGAGAACTGCTCGGTCTGCGGCATGGCAGAGAGTGCCCAGGTCTGGATAGGATGGGTACAGCATGGGCTGGTGACAGGAGGAAGTGCTTATTGGCGCATCTGCCACTGGTGGCAGGATAAACACGTTCCTTTACTACTGCATCCTTCGGTCTCCTCAGCAGTGCTTGCGGCCAGGCTTTGTGCCATCTCCCTGTCCCAGCCTCTGGATTGCCCTTAAAACATGCCTGCTGCCCTCAGCACAGGAGTGAAGGCGGGTTGGCATGCTGGCGTACATGGCCTCGAGGGGGACTGGCAGGGTCTTCTGGGCCTTGGGAAAAGGGTGTCCACTATTCACGCCTTTCGGGCCCCAGTCCTCTGCAGGTCACTCCTTCCACAGCCTGGCACTGCCTGCCCACCTTTCCAGCTCCTACGGACACACAGGAGGCAGAATTGCCAACAGCGCAGCACCTGTGCCTTCTCTGGGATTTTAGTTATGTGCAGTCGGCCCTGGTTCAAGAGCATTACATGAAAAATCCCAGAGATAAATAATTAATGCATTTTAATTTTTGAATTGTTCTGGGCAGTGTGATGAAATCTCGCATTGCCATGCGCCATCGGCCTGGGAGGGGAGTTGTCTCAGCAACGCATCCTTGCTCTGTACGTCACCTGCCCCTCGGTCACATCAGGGCCTGACACCAGATCCACCATAGGGGCATTCTGATGCTGGAGTTTAGGTAGCTCTTATTTTCTTAAAAATGGTCCCAAAGGGCAAGAGAAGGGACAAAGGCATTTCAGATGTCCCAGAGAACCCATGAAGTGCTTCCATAAAATGAAAAAGTAGAAGTTCTTAAAAGGAAAAGAAAAGCAAGAAAAAAAAAATTGTGTGCTGGGGGCTTGCAGGTTAGCTCAGTCGTCTAAAGCACCTGCTTGGGCACACTTAGTCAAGTACAGGGTACTGTGGTTCGATCCCCAGCTCCACAAGCCACACCAGACCCGCCCCTAAGGCAGCCTCAGCTAGCAAAAAAAAAAAAAAAAAAAAAAAAAAAAAAATCTTTCTACAATTAGAAAAAAAGAGAAAAGTGTGTGCTAAGGCTTCTATGACATGTGGCAGGAGTGACTCTTATCTGTAAAATTGTGAAGAAAAAAAGAAATTCATGCTAGTTTTTCTCTCACACCTCAAACTGAAAAATTATAGCCACAATGTGTGAGACAATCTTGGTTAAGGTGGAAAAAGGCATTAAATTTATGGGTGGAAAATGTGAACAGAAAATATGTTCTCACTGACGGCAGTGGGGCGCATGTGAGAGCACCAGGCCTATGGGAAGACGTCAGCATGAGCCTCTTCGATGAGCGAGTGACTCTACGTGATTCACGGCAAGTAAGGGACACCAAGACATTTGCTACAAGTCACTGATTCAGTAATAGATTTGAACTGAGAACTATTAACATTACTAGACAGGCTGATGAAGAAGGTGCTGCTACATTTCCAGTAGAGTTAGAGATGCGGACGAGGAGGAAGGATACCAGCTAAGGCAAGCCTTGAGTGGAGATGGCAACAGCCTCTTCTATGGGAAGAGGCCGCAAAGGAACCACATGCGTGAAAGTACAAAGGAGACCCTAGACCTCATTTGATGAAGAAGTGGAAGAACATAGCAGTCCTGAAGGCCCTCTCAAGCAGTGTTAATACATCAGGAATTTAGAAGACCGTGTAGGTCACATATAGGGGAAGATAAAGGACAACACACATATCATCAGAATTGGCTGAAGGGTTTCAAACTACACCAACACAAAAGCCAAAATTTATAGAAAATGATCACTGAACAGAAGGCAGCATTAAAGTGGCCCACGTGGTCAGTGAAGAATCACAGCCTCTGCAGGAATGTGTTCACACACTGAACAGACACTAGTTTCCAGTTACAGTGCTCTTAGAAAACCTTTCAGAAAAGAACAGAAGGAAAGCTTCAATTATGGTAAAGAAATCCCTCCCCCAGTGAACTGCAAAGACCCGTATGGGCGTGAGGCATTGTTAAGCTCAGGGGGGGCTCTCTCCAGGTGCTGGGCTGTGCACCAGACTGTAACAAGTCACACCCACCTCTGGGACCTGACAGCATTTGCTGAGACCAGCAGAGTTCCCAATAAGGATGCAACAGAATGCAGCACACTTTACTTTTCCCAGAACCCTCTCTTTCTTCTGTATTTTCGCGTTTCTCTCAGAACCACGAAGTATGTACTTTAGTAAAGGGAAATGGGGAAATCAGTCGTGCTGCACTCCATGTGTTTCCCATGCCTTTGTAAAGCAGCCCTTAATAAGCACACTTACTTTCAAAGCTCCAAGCTATTGTTTGGACTGTTGGGACATCTCAATTTGGAGGCAGATGTTTCTTTCCTATCTGCTCAGGAAGTTTGTGGAATACCAACACTGTCTACTCCTGACATTTAACCACTGACATGGTCATGGCTTGATGATCCTCCTGATGCAGATTTAATAGCCTAACACGACGGCACCATGCCTACATAGGCCAATGGGCCCACCTCATCCCATCATATAGGCATCTTATCAGCTCACATCAGCACAGTAAGAGGAAAATCCATCTTCAATTGTGCCCCTGGTGTTGGACTCCACTCAGATACAATGCTGAAGTAGTATTTCTTGCAAAGCCATCCCCTACTGTCCTGAAGTCAATCACACTGGACACTGGGCTTTTACTTTGTTCCCGGAAGCCACATGCTGTCTATCACAGGGATTAACATGCACAGTGATACCAGGAGGATATGGCTAGGGCAGCATCTACACAGGCCTGAGGAGTACCTATACATCAAGGAGTGTGGAGACCATTTCACTGTCACTGTCCTTTACTACGGCTTCCTTCCTACCTAAAATTTTATAGCCAGACAAAAACAAGGTTCCATAAATAGTTGTATGTAGCCTGTATTCCTGTTGCAACTAGCTATGGAATATTTGCTGGTGGTCTTGCTTGGCGAGCTACTCACCCTGCATATATTTTCAAAATTTATATGCATCTTCCCAAGCAAGGTTTCCCTGGATTTGGACAAGCATGGCACTCATACTTGAAGACAAGAGCCTGCATGGCTCCTTCCAAGGAAGTGTCTCCCACATTATTATGGCTTAGGTATGGGTGTTCCCCCAAAGCCTCATATGGTCAAAGTCAGGGCTGTGGAAGGTGACTGGATTTATGGGGCCATGGCTTTTGGCATGGTGTTGGGAAGTGGGGCCTAGCGAGAATCTATGTGTTACTGGGGATGTGGACTGGTAAAGTCCATACTCCTTTTCTTCTCTGCTTCCTGGTCGCCATGATGCGAGCAGCTCTTTTCTGTCATGCCCTCTGCCATGCTGTCCTACCTTGGAACCAGCTAACCATTGACTAATACAGGAAGCAAAGTAAGCCTCACCTCCCTCACATCATGGATGTCTGGTCTCTGTCCCAACAAGGGAAGTACTAAGACACAGTTCTGATGACAGTAATGTCGTGGACAGTCTAAGAAGACATAATGGCCAAGGCAGGTCTGAAGTCCACAGAGAAGACAGGAAAATGGTGGAATCTATTCTGTTTGCTTCCTGCCAAAGGCTGCTTCACCTCTCAGTATCCTGTAGCGAGATGAATTCCTGACTGAAAACAAGGCAGAAACATCGCTACCTTCAGCCACCACCCTATGAAGAATAGGAAACCTTCAGGGCTCCTAGAAGAGGTCACCAGAACATACAGCACACTGCAGAGTTTGGAGAAAGGCCCGCAGATGCTCCAAGTTCTTGAAAGTCATTTCCAGAGTAAGATCAACCCGATGAACCTGCTGAAGAAGTTGGATGAACAGTCACCCAACTTTATCGCAGGGGCTCACTTTGTGGACACATGTTTGGGCAAGGAATTCACAATCCAGATATGCCGCCGACCTCGTGCTCTATCTGAGGAGCCAGAAAAGGCCAAATCTGAGAATAGTCAGGCTGAAGACTGTGTTTGAGCTGCAGGAAGAACAACACACGTTGCTGTTTAAGAGGCTCCTGATCAACTTCCCAGAGCTGTGGAGAGCAGGGACAGTGGCTTCCTAGCTTCCAGGCATCCAGAGAAAACTTGGCTCTTGGCCCTTGCAACATTTCAGCCTCTAAGTGCTCTGATTTTTAATTTTTACAACTAAAGTTTAAATCAATAAAATGAAACATTTCACCTTAAAAAAAAAACCCTGTCCATTAAGACGGCAATGATGATGGTGCGACAACAGACACAAATCACACACACACACACTCATGCAGATGTATTCTTGCTGCTTTGAGGGCAAGTATTTAGGTGACAAGAACTGGAAGACCACACAAGGATCAGAATAAATTACTTTTGAAGAGAACTAAGATAAAGAAAGGTTAAGTATATGGACAGTATTCAGTCTACAGATAGAGGGTAACATAAATGCACAGAAGAATTTATTAAACAAAGAGGGGGAGAAAACTGTTTTCTAGACTTACTGATAGCAGAACAAAAGAGCTCAAAGTCACCGCTGGGGGACATAAGGAAAAATATTTTTTGAATCTTCAGGCTACAAATTTTACAAGGAGCTGTGAGTGAGTACGGCTTATCACCTTCCTTTAGACTATCCTAGAAAGCGATACCCATCCAAGATAGTGGTGCCAGGGAGACAGTTACTGTCTAGCTCCATATTACAGCAAGCAGCATTTGATAAATTACATACTAGAACTTTACCAAAAAAAAGAGCTATTTTTGATTTAATTTAAAAACTTCTGAGACAATGATACAGAGATTTCCAAGGTAAGAAAAAGATGCAGGAATTTCCCCAATGCATAATAATCCTATGACGATTTGTCAGAAATAACTTTTTGATATACCAAAAGATTAAACTATGGAGAAAATGTTATAGAGGAGAGAGACTGTTTTCACTGGCTTTCACTACCAGTATACACTCTTAGAGAGGATTAAAAATAATTCAGTAAAAACCGAAGAAGCATGGATTACAGATCTTTTGCACCTACTTGGGCATGCTTTTAGCGCCTTGGTGCTACATAAAATTGGCTCACTGCTATTGGATGTTACCTAGTAATTTTACTAAAGATTCATCATTGGTGAAGTCTTACCACCTCCCTCCTCTTCTTGGACTCCCTGGTCCTCAGGTCCCTGAGCAACATCATTATCCACAGCATTATACTGAGCTTGCTGCCTGTCAGGGACACAAACAGTATAAATTCAGTGACAAAGGTCATTTATCTTTCAAGATAGTAATAAGATTTTTCAATGTGTTTTAAAAAGCCATATTTTAAGTACACAGTAAGGTGTAATAATAAAAATATGCTTTCAAAAAAAGGTAGTATATCTTTAGGTGATAAGAAAAACACAGAGGTAGCATAAATCCAACTAGGCTATTGTAAGACCTAAACTATTACTGTTAAATAGAATATTATATTATATTTGAAATTAAATGTCTGGCACTTAATTCTCAACTTGTTATTGTATCATGGCTACATGAACAACGTGAGCCAATCACGTTCATAAATCAGCAATATACAAAGTTGTGTTTCATTTGTTTATTCAGCTGAGGAGGGGCTGCCTACACTCATCACGAGATGGAGAGGAGAGGGAGAGAGGTAGTATATAGGAGAGAGAGAGGGGAAGGAAGAGGGAGGAGGGGAGGAGAGGGGAGGGAGGGAGAGGGAAGGGGAGGAGAGAGGAGGCAGAGGGGGAGGGGAGGGCTACCGTAGCTGCTCCTGGTGCTGCTGCTGGCCTTCCTGGTGCCCAGCCGGCCTCTGCCGGGCCATGTCTCTGGCCAGAAGCTGCTGTTCCTGCTGCTGCCGCTGCCACAACAGTTGTCCCTGCAGCCTCTGCTGGTGCAAGGCTTCCTGGCGCTCTCGCAGCCGCTGGGCCTCCTCATCCCTCCTTGCTGCCAGCCTCTGCTGTTCCAATTGCTCCTCATACAGGGATCGGAATCTGGTAGCCGGCTTGGCTGAAGGCTGCACCTGGGACAAGAATGGGTTGATCCTAAGCAGGAGGAATCAGGCCCTCAGCGTTCGGCCTTCGTGGGTCTCACGGCAAACTCGGAAGGAGAGTCTGTGTCTGAACACCTCTTTCTCAAGTGAATGCATAAAGTCCCAGAACTCTTGTTTCCCAGCTTTCTCTGAATTGCTCTTGGCTTTGTGAGGCCACCACAGTCTTCCAGATTTGTGGACATTAAGGCAGCTTGGAGTATGGCCCGTGCCCAGAATGGAGCCGCGCACACAACATAAGAAATCAATTTCAAGCTGTAATTAAATTCATGTTCACGAGCCTCAGCCACCGCCAAGCACTTTGTAACCTACACTAATTGGGCCATTTGTGAGGCTAAGGCTTTTTCTATGAAAAGTTAAAGACCAAGGAATGCCAATTAACTCCAGCAGTGTGTACACTGGTCCCAAGTTAGCAGAGCCAGAATATGTCAAACTCCAGGTCCCAGTGGAAAGACAGAAAGCTGATATACTTCAAAGAAATACAGGAGGAGTTAAGGCAATCCCACTTGATAAAGGACAGTGGGATAAGCAATGGTTAAAACTCTGTTTCCCACTGAGCTACTCACTGCCTTCCCCACCCCGGCCAACCAGCACAAGCACACGCAATTCTTAACACAGGAAAGACAGCACCATGTTCAAGGGAACTGAACCCAGTGGAGATCTGCCATCCTCAGTGAGGAGGGGCACCGACCGGCAGAGGCTTCTCCAGGCTGTTTGCAACTATCCAAGAGGGCAAAGGGAGAGAGAGGTCGGGGCACCTGCTCGGACTACAGCTGCAGGCCACTAGGGTCTCTGTGAGCCCGAAGCACCAGAAGTATAGAGTCATCCACATTGAGGCAAAGGCCGGGGACGGTCACTGGGCTTTAGGTTAGAGGCAGCAGAAGGGTGGGCAGCAGCTGCACTCAGAGTTTCTGCAAACCCAGTGCTTCTAGTAATGACCAGTGATTTATTTTGTTAAAAGGAAAAAGTTTTACTTATGTGTGAGGAGCAGCAGAAATTGGTTAAACATAGTTACCTAATAAAATATTCCCACGTGGAGAAGTAGTCAGTTTGTTTTGTTTTATTTTGAGACAGGGTCTTGCTATGCAGCGGAGGCTGGCCTTGAACTCACTATGTAGCCCAGGCTGGCTTTGAATTCACAGCGATCCTCCTGCCTCAGCCTCCTGAGTACTGGGATCATAGGCAAGTGCCACTATGCGCAGCCCTGGTAAAAACTTTTTGATAAAAGCACTTTGATGCAGATTGAAAGTGACTGGTTAAATGCCATCACATCAACTAGGGCTACATAATTAGGAAGAGGAGGCTCCTGATAATTTAAAAAAAAAAAAGGACCTTTCTTTTCTACCTCAAGATACTCAAGATGTATTTGCCTGAATACATTCTGGCAAAGCAACTGTTAGGGTGCTCACCTACGCCACTCTGTCTGAGGGACATGAGGAAGGACCTTTGTGCACCACTGACAATGGGAGGAATACACACACACACACACACACACACACACACACACACACACACACACACTGCAACTGCTCCGGTCACCCACCATCTTTCTGAGGTACATATGCAGCTGTTATTAATATTACAACGATAAACTTCAACACATGAGCGTTATAGTTAATGAAATCCACCCATTTTTAAAGAGCCTGCAATACACAAAAAGCATTTTCAAAGCACAGGAGGGTCCCACCCCAGAGGGCCCGGGGGTGGGGGGGAGCTCGCACCTGGGCGGGAGGCCGAGCATACAGCAGCTGGGCCGCTTCCTTCTGTTCGTGCTGCTCTCTCCACTCGTGGTCCTGCTCCTCTGGCGACGGGTCATGCTCCTCCTCGAGGTGTTCAGCCTGGCCAACCTGCTCCATTTCCTCCTCTTCCAGGGCCTTCCTGTGCTCCTCTTCTGCCTGGTGTTCTGCCGGTTCCCTGGGCTCCACTCCGCGGGGGCTGTGCTCTGCCGCAGCCCGGAATTCTGCCTCCTTCGGGGTGGGAGTGTAAGGTTTCATTTCTTCTGCTCTTTCAGGCATCACTTCTGGTTTCTGCCACACATCACCATGGCGAGACACCTAGGCCAAGCACATCATGGGAAATGGTACCCTTGTATTTCAGAAGTAGTGATGTAACACCATTAGGGCCATGCCTACCTGGGAGTAGCACCAAGGCGAAATCCCAGAGCCTAGAAATACAGACTATCCTAACTTAAAAAGATGGACGCAGTAGTCACAATTCTTACTGTATAATCTCATCCACATAATAGAGATGGACTACATAGGCAAAATTTCATTTCAACAAGAGTATAGTTGGTAACCAGGTCAGGAAAGCCTGTGCATATCCTTGCCTCAGAAGTAAATCTTTCCTTTAAAATCATTCTCACTCTTACCTTCCCTTAGAATAAAAAGGAAAAAGTCTCAAACTTCAGCAATGAAATGGTTACAAAATTTTCTCTCATGTCAGTTTTGTTTCCAATAATTATATGAAAAAAAGGATACAATCCAATTGAAGAACTGAGTTTATTTTTCATTATGATTTTTAAAATGCCATTATTAATGGTCATCCATGTTTAAAATAGTGCCAGCTGAGATATAATAAGGTATCTTTAAGGTATTATAATAAAATTCCTTTGCAAGCCAGTCTTTGGTAAAGATTTTGTATTGTCAAGACAGAAAACTGAACAGAACAACCTCAAAAAGTCACGTTTTAGAACACTACTCCCGCAAAATCAGCTGATTCAACAGAGTACTCCCCCACAGTTTCCGAGGTCTCTATATAATCTCCATGACCTAGGCAAGGAGCAGTGATGTTAATAGGGAAATCGATGGTGCCGTTTTCTTCCTTAGCCTTCCTCGTCAGAAAAAAATTACTTTTTTGGTCAGATTATTTTCCCACAATGAAAATAAATATGAAACACTATCCTGAAACTAACAGAATCACCATGATCAAACTTTAAAGGTGGAACTGTAGGAATAATAAACTGGGGAGAAACACTCACTTCTCAGGCATGTGAGTGTATACTTCTGGAGGCATACATTTTACGGAACTCCTCAGCTATCTGGCAAGCATGACTTAATACCGCCCTGACCTCATAGGAAATATTTCTCTAGAGCTCCAAGCAATTTCAAACTCCCATCATATATCTTCACAATATCTCTGTGAAGAAGGTTAGAACAGATAACTACTGTCTCCAACTCACAGGCAGAAATTCCAAAGAAGCTCTGAGTTACTAGAAGATTCACCCAGTCAAATGTTAGTCAAACTAGGAAAGAACAGAACCAAATGCCAGGCAAGTGACTCATCTATCATGTTTTAAGCTAGTGGTTACCATAAGAGCCCAAGAGAGAACAAGGGTCTCAGAAGACAGGTACTGTCAGTGAGGAATGCCCTGCAGAGAGTGAAGACAATCGTACGTGAAGTCCTCTCAATCAACTTTGGGGAAGTTTTCTCAGACATTTGCTGTTAAAAAGGACTTGGCTAGGGAGAAAAATAAGCATACTTCTTATTTTTGTTACATGTTGTGTTGTAAAAACAATTGTGAGAATTAATAGTAAGGAGAACAACACTTTTGATCCCTTACTTAATAGACTTGACTTCCATAAGGAATAAAGCACTCATATCCCAGGCACGGCCACGGATGTATTTTACTATACATCTTGGTCTGCTTTACATAGGCTCAGCACTAACCCAATTTCAAGTATATTGGCTTTAATACTTGAGAGGGCTGTCACATAACATCCTTATGATCGTTTAACCTTCTCACCCTGCTCAAAGACAAAAATAAATCAACTGACCATGAAATACTTAGACACTACCACTCCTTTAAGACAAATAAACGCTCATGAAAAAGACATGGCCGGTAAAGTCTTTCCCATAAAACCCTGAAGCAGCAATTGTCAAAATGTTTGCCCCACACCAGTTGAATCAGTTAGAAACTCAAATCCTCAGGCCTTGCCTCCAAATGAACCAAATCTAAAACTTGGGCTGGAGCGCGGTAGTCTGTGTTTTAATAAGCCCTACTGGGGATTCTATTATGCACTAAAATTTGAAAGTACTCCTCTGAAGAGCGGGCAGTATGGGGAACAGTTCACTCCTGACAGCTGCACGGGGAAAGAGGCCTCACCACAGAGCCCCAGGAGTTCAGGCGGCTTACCTCCGGCGGCTTTCCACTCGGCTGCCTCCGCGCTGTGTTGTAACCTTGTGGAGAATGTGCCACCTGGGCAAGGGTCTCATTCTGCAGCTCTGCTTGGTCAGATTTTCGAAAGCTTGGAATCTTATTCAGAGTATCTTTCAGTTGTTTATATTCTGCAACTTGAGTCTGCATGGAAATTGCACAATTGGATGCAAATTGCACAAGTTGAGGAGGGAGAAAAAACATTTACAGATGGGCATTTGAGTTCACTGGAAGATCAGACAAAAAAATTCCTCCTGTATCCAACAAGGAAAATACCTAATTTTCATGCATTGGTTATTCTTCTTGGACATACTTACTCATTTGAGCACATGCGTATCAGAATTAGCGTTAAAAGGAAGAGGAAATAAATACCTAAGACAGATGTTAGTTGCTCATGCTACATTAAACACAGTTATAATTTGTGTAAATAGCTTTCTAGTATGAATTTATTAAAATATGGGTATGCAATAAATATCTTATCACATTAAAAATCAATTAACAACTCACACAGTTATACAAATACAAGTGCAGATATCTTTGCAATATGGTCTGAGTAACAGTTTCAGTGGAAAGGAGTCAGAGTACGAGTGTGTGTGTGTGTGTGTGTGTGTGTGTGTGAGAGAGAGAGAGAGAGAGAGATTTATATATAGAGAGAGAGACAGAGAGAGAGAGAGACAGAGAGAGACAGAGAAAGAGAGAGACAGAGAGAATTGTTCAGGTCACCCTCTCCCTCTGAGTTAATTTTGTGTTCACATACCACCTCCTACTTGCTAGAATGCGTCCTAGATTGTGTGCTCTGCGGTTCTTGAAAAGCAGTGAAACAGGCATGACATGGGATGGGTCTGGATTTTTATTTCTCAGTCCTAAATAGCCTTTTAAAGTGATACGGGCAGGCTGGGGAGATAGGTCAGCAGCACAGCGCCTGCCTGGCAAGTGCAAGGTCTGAGTTCACTTCCTGATTACAAAAAAATAAAAAGAAGAAAGTGATAAGGGCAGTAATGCAGGTAGAGAGTGAGAATACACTCACAAAGGTGTATCTATGTGCATATATCGTTGGGAGTGTGTGTATGGTGTGTGCTGCAGTATTTTTAATACAAAGAGCTGGAAAAATACAAAACCAATGAATTGTAATAAAATTAGCAGACACTGTGTATACATTACTCTGTGTACACATCAGTGCTATCCTGAAAGAAACGCTGTGTGCACACACATACACACACACACAAAGAACGAGAACTCTGTGTACACAAGGCTCCAGCGGGCGCCTCCCTCAGTGGGCCCTGTAGAGTGGGTGAGGTGAGCTGGGACAAGCCGGCCTCCTGCTGCCCTCCATGCTGCCCACAGAACCTCCACCCAGGGAAGTGACACAGATTAGCTTCTCTCTAATTTGCCACAAGTGAAAAAGTCTGTTTGCGAATCCATGCCAAAGTAATGCCTATGCATAATTTGTAGAAAAGTGTCCCACTTGGCTTGTCACAGTCCTTATCTCAGATAGCCATCAAAACACTGGTAAACCAACTTTGGAGGTCACAGAAGAAAACAAATGTGACATCCACATAGTAATGATTTTAATAGTTTAAGTTACATGGAGCACTATATGAAACTCAATTATATTTTTTCCTTTCTCCTCCACATGGCTAACATTTGAAGGCAATAAATTCTGCGGTTCTGCTATTAACTAAAGATGGAGGCGCTTGGGCTCCCACTACAGAAATTATGGCTTAAAGGATCTGGGGCAAGATCTAAGTAATATGATGAAGAGGAGGTCTCAGAACATATAGTTAAGAATTAACTGTCATTTTGATACCAGGAAGATCTGAACTTCATGTTTGGCATATGTGCTGCCAAAATGAATACAAGATCTGCACTTGCAGCGTGATTCTGGTCACCCAGCTATCACAGGCCAGCTACGTGGACCTGTCCCTTTGGCCTCTGTTTACCTAGTTATAAAATGTTATATACCTTGCTAGATTATAAGATTTAAAGTCCTTAACTATATTTAAAAATCAAGGTGTCAAGACAGAATCCAAAAGATGATTTGCAGAAAAATGCAGACACCTGAAACAGCATTTTTTAAAATTAAATTTAGGAAAAGTTCCAATTTGGTGTTATAAACTTCATTTGTGTTTTTCCAAGATTCATATATTGAAATGGTAATTGTCAAAGTGATAATATGGAAAAGTAAAGACTTCGCAGGGTAATTAGGTCATGAGGGTGGAGCCCGTAGAAACCCTCAGAACTTCCTACATCTGTTTTACTCCAGGAGAACACAGGGAAACTTCAACCTGGAAGAGGGACCTCAAAAGAATCCAAACACACCAGCGTCCTAAGTTAGAGTTCCAGCCTGCAGAACTATGAGAAATAAATCTGTCCTGTTTATAAGCCACTTGTTCTACAGTGTTTTTATAGCAGTTCAAACTAAGACATATGGCTGTAATTATTACCTTAGGTATAGCATAACTATTTGAAAAGGCAAGAAAAAATTAAGAGTATTCCCTCAAAAAGGAAACTCAGAGAAATAGAAAAAAAAAATATATATATATATGCAAATTTATTTTTCTATTATAAAACCTCATCAGTAAGTAATGTTGTCAGTGTGCTTGTTAGAAAAATTAACATTGGCTGTATCTTCTTATACTTTCATGGGCTTTCAGATTGTTATTTAATCTGATATTTATGGTTATTACAGCACACGGTACCCAGATCAGTTTGTCACAATTTACAGTACAAAGAAGAACCTCATAATAAATGACACTTGATAATTTCATAAAGAGAGATAATGCTGTACACTCTCACAGGTACTTTATAACTTTGCCCTTTTCTTGTAATTCCTTCAACCAGAAAAAAAAAAAAAAAAAAAGGTGACGATCTAGTTTAATAGGGTGACTACCTAGTCATCCCTGTTTCTTTGCTTCCATTGGAAAGCCACACAGCGCACAGCATGATCTCTCTTTAATAAACAATCCTGTTCTTATATTTGTTCACTTGTTCATTCAGTAAATACACACTTAGGACCTGCCTTGTGCTGGGGGCTGCTCCAGCCTTTGAGCAAATGTACACTGTGACTCTAGTATTTTCTACTCTATCGACTTGTCTACTTTTCTGTAATTTAACCAACACCAACCACATAAGCCCTGCCCCAAAGGTATTGCGTGTAGGTTTGAATGCTGCCAATGAGGGAAGAACAGGAGGGGGAAAAAGGTAACAATGATTTATTCAGGTAGCCAGCATCATAAAGTATACAGATTCCATACCAAGAGTTGACACAGATCAGATAGTTGCAAAATACCTATGGGACACTTTCTATGATTTGAGTAAGTGTTAGATTACAGGATTTAGGGCCTAATAGAAGTAGAAATAGTCATATGCACCATATAACCAGTGCAAAAAATAATCAAGTGTTTAATATTCTCTTGGATGAATATGAAAAGCATGCACTGTTTTCAGAATTAGGACAGCTCGTTCCTAAGAAGTTCACTGAAGATCGGCTTGTAAGAGACTGCATGCATAAAAGAATTTGGAGGTATTAGGCAAACTTTTAAAAGAACTGACAGAGGCTGCTACCCTTCTGACCTGTGCAGCAGCTAGCGCACTCTTGTGGTCTTCCAAAGTCACTACAAGCTGTTCATGCTCGGAGAGTAAATTCTTATGCTGCTGCTACACAAAAAAGAATTTTACACGTTGAGCTTTATGTTATAAAACAAGTGCTTTGTTATACACTGTCTAAATGTTACTTGCTTATTTATTGCTGTTAACTTTAAAATTATTAAGGAGGGAAAACTAAAATTTATGTAGTAGTCCAAAATCTAAAATACGCTACGCAAACCTAGCCATTTACAATGAAATCAAAACCAAAGGAATACCTCTTTCATTATTAATAAATCTCTGGAAATATAAACATTGTTAAAATGCAGCCAACTAGCAAAAGAATAATTTCAGTATTCAGAAAACACTGTCATGAAAACATTTGGATTTTTCAGGCGACCTTCTGTATCTTAGGACATTCAAGTGGGAAAAGTATCAGGTGCTCTACAGTTAGTTACGCAAGGCCACAGTAACAGTCTGGTTTTGATCAAGTGACTTTCACAGTCACTGTGCAGCATTTACGCGGGTACACAGCAAAGAGCCCCGCGCCTCCTCGTACTTTACCTTGACATCCTGCAGCTGAGTGTGTATGTCTTGGTGTGCTTTCCTTAGTTGTCTATTCTCTTCTCTCAAGTTGTACACGGTTTCTATTTTAGAAAAAGAAAAAACACACACAGAGCCTTGAAATTCTCAGGCTTTTGATTCTTTGAGTTTTACATCTGAAGCATCACTTTGCTTTATGACTTGTTCTGCACTTTGACAGTACGCTATTACGAATCAACAAAAACTACCTCACACTGCCAAACAGCATGGATTCCGCTAAACATCTCAATAGTCTGGCTCAGGGGTTTAAATATGTTTAAACAAGCTATTCACGGCAGATGGAAGTCTATGATTTTTAATTAATCGGGACTTAAAAATGAAGTCTTTCTGGCAATAAGCCCTTAAGAATAAAATTACCAGGCCTCAGCTTTAAGTCTCTTCAAAATTAAAAATAAAATTATCAGGAAGTGCAGGCTGTATTTCTCACAGCATGAATAATTTCCACAGACTCTACAAAGACAAATCAAGACATGAGACAGAAACCCTACTTATCTGTTTAAAAAAAAAAAAAAACTATTTTTTTCTTCTACTATTAAGTTCCTGATTAAACCAAATTAGGCTTCCAACAGGACAGCTCCTTTTACAGTTGCAATGCTGAGATGCACAAGTCAGAATGAACTCCTAACGTTCGCCCTTCCAGCTCTACTGCTCAGGGGAGAGCTCCTTACTTAATGATTTCTTTCTTCCTCCTCCTCCTCCTCCTCCTCCTCCTTCTCCTCCTCCTCCTTCTTCTTTTTTTTTGGCAGAACCAGGGATTGAACTCAGGCCCTTGCGCTTGCCAGGGAAGCAATGATTTCTTTTTTTGATACAGGGTAGAGTCTGACCTGCGTAATGATCCTCCTGTCTCAGCCTCCCCAGCGCTGGGATTACAGGCGTGAGTCACCATGCCTGGCTTCAGGGCTGGCATGGCATGGGATACTGGGGATCAAACTCCGGACCTTGCACTTACCAAGCAGCACTTAGACCACTGAGCTATCTCCCTTGCCCCTTGCTTAATGATTTGACCCAACTTTCTTCTTGGTAATTTTCTGTCTTTCCTTGTATCTGGAGATTGAATATTAATAATGCCAGCTGTCAGCCACAGCTACAAAATTAGCATTTTTTTCTGGCCCCTCCACGTTGGTCTACATAGTATTTCCCACATTTGAATAGTTGTCACTGCTAAAAAAAGTAAAGAAGTAGGTTTCCTCTCAGGAGATATTAGGCCCATTGTTGTGCGAGAACAATATGTACAAGTTGAGTGACAATCGGCTGACTACGGAAGTCATTTTCCAATGGGAGACACTTTCGAGAATTAAAGGTGTGCTATCAATAATCTGTGACAACAAGCATAAACTCAGATTGTGCCAGCCAAGCTGTCCCTAAATGACAGTCACCTCCTGCACCCAATTCCTAACTTTCCACTCAGCATGGAAGGAAAATGACAGTCACCATTTCTCATCAGACTTTCTGGGCATTTCAGTTCCCTGATGGCTCCTGTCTGAACCCTGGATCCTGGAAGCATGGCTGGGTCTCGGGGAGAGACCAAAACAAAGTAGAGAGTGTGGCAGGGATGGAGCATGTGTAATAATTACATGCAGTAGTGCATTTTCTCAAAGACAAACACAGGACACCACTGGCAACAACCCATGAGGACCGAATTGGACCCAAAGATGGACATGAGTTCAGTCTAGTGCAGACACACCCACACACCCACACACACCCACACACCCTCCACACCACCACCACCACCACCACCACCACCCCACCCCACCCCACCCCACCAACTTAGCTGGTCCTTAAAGGAATTTCAGATGACACACCTTGCTGAGTTCACCTGTTGAATGACAGCTGAGCACCACACCTACCTTAAAGGTCACTATGGAAATTAAATAAGATCATCCATACAAAACACTTCACCTGGTACTGACACAGGTAGGCGTTTGTTACATGACAGCTACTGCAATGATGGCAAAGAAGAACAATTGTCTGGGCCTATCACTTACACACTTCCTCCTCAACTCCCAAAGAATTCTGAATTTGGACCTTGCATCAGATTCAACAACCAAAAGAGACTTGGACTACACACCTGGGTTAGCTACCCGGCCTGAACTGATCACACAATGTTTCAGCTCAGCTGTCCTAAACTTTTGAAAGAGTCCTGATCACATCAGAAGGGCTGATGTGCAAACTGCTCACGGAAGCGTCAGAGGCACTGTCCATGCTTGGTTGATCCGGGTTGCTTTGTGAAACTGTCCAAGGTACTGTCCTGCTCTCCCCCCCAAGCCATGGGTGTATTCTCTTTCTGCTGACTATACTCCTAACACATTCTGTAGTTTCCTTTTCATCTTGGGTACCAAGAAGCTCAGAACAGATGCTAAGGCTGGACCATCCACTACTCAGATGGAGGTCTATGTGTCCTCTTTCTCCTGGTTCTCATTTTTTCTATAAACACATATTTAAGTTTTTATTATACATGGATCTTGCTTTTTAAGAAAAACTGTAGACAAGAAAACCTGCCTTTCAGTGCTATTGCTACATTTAAATGAATTACTAAACTATGTAATGTTCTCAAAGTAGGCTTTCAGAAACCAGCTACCTTAGAAAATGTTGTTGTTATCATTCTTTAATGGATCTACCTACTCTCTGTATAATTTAATGAATTACTCAGTCATTTATTGAACCTGATCATCTTAGCAAATGCCAAATAGTGTATCCAAAAGCCAGGGTGTCTTCCCTCTCCACACACAGCAGCAGCTTCCTCAGACACCTGAATTCTCTTCCTTTATACCTGGGCGGATTTCTGGTGTTTAGTCTTTCTTACATTTTTGTTTTATTATCCCCCACCCCCTGCCCCACGCCTCTTACCACCTGCCTATCTTCAACAAGCTAAGGAGCCTACATATCCACCTCTTGGATACCATCTGGTGACACCTGGCCCTCTATCAAAGCCACTCAACCTTTTTTAGGATTGTTTCGATGACTGTCTGACTCTTACATGCCTTTTTGCTATTACTTATTACTTATTTTTGTAAATACTTAGAGACAAAACGTTGCAAGCACGGTATAAGCACTTAGCACCCCACTTCTGTCCACGAGGACACCCCAGTATGTGACTCACTATCCACAGAGACTGTCTGGCATCATACAACACACTAAATGATAGACCACATTTGGATTTCCCACTGCTTCTGCACGTGCCATATACCATTTAAAACCAATTTTCATATTTTCAACTTATTTAACACACAGGAATTTCATCTGAAAATGCCTTGGTTCCTTTTTATGAAGCTCATACGTAGTCAGCAAAGTGGTGCATTTTGTCTCATCTTGCTGCAAAACTTCTTGATGCTGACACTGATGACAGCTATTGCACCATATACCAATAATGACTCTAGATGCCTGACGTAAGTTACTCCTCACACCAACCCTATGCAGTTGATACTTTTTGTGATTATCTCAATTTTACAGACAAAACAATGAAGCCTGTGGTGATCATATGACTTTCCCACTGTCACATGACAGTAATTCAAGCCAAGATCCACAGCAGTCTGCATAGGGAGGCTGAGCTTTTCCAGTTCCTGTCAGCAAGCAGCAGAAACTTCTCTGCCACCGTGGGGATGTTTAGAAATGTGTGAAGCAATGTCTGGTCATAGCAGTAGCTGGGGAACAGGGATGGCCTTTAGCAGATAGGAAACCAGAGATACTAAATGTTTTCTTAACACACAGAAAAAGAATTGTCTTGCCCAACAGGGCCACATGCACTCCTGAGACAGAACAGGATACATTAAATTATCTATTCTGCTTGCCTATAAAAACCTGAAGAAATCAAAATAGAACACTGGATAAATGTGACAAGATTTACACAAATGAATGAAAAGTGTATTGTTTCATTGAAACATTAATATTACTAATTAATAATAACTAAAATTATTGTTAACTGACTCATTTGATTTTTTTATTATTATCTTTTAATGTACTTGGTTGTTGCATGGTCTCACTACGTAGCTCAGACTTGTGGTGATCCTCCTGCTTTCAGCCTCCCCAATGCTGGCATTACAGGTGTGTGCCACTAGGCTGGGACTCTGGCAGGCTCAGCCCACCCTCAGGGCGGGCCTGACATGGCACATGGTGCTGGGGATCAAACCCAGGTCCCTGAGCTTGCCTAAGCAGGCCCTTCAGTCCACTGAGCTATCTCACCCGCCCCTCATTTGATTTTCAAATACCTTTTAGTTTAGAAAGTTCTTGCTCCTTTTCCTGCTGGAGCTGCAAGTACTTCTGCTTGTGGTCGCTGAACGCTCTGCTGAAGTCTTCCCCTTGTCTGCGATGCTCCTCTTCCAAGTCACTGTGCTGTTTCTTCAGCTCCTCGTGCTGACTCTGCAAGATGAAAACCTGAGCAGAGATGTATATTCTCTACAGCATCCTAGACTTTCTTGCCAGCATGACCTTTATCTTCCAAGGAAGTAAGAATGAATGAAAAAGCAGCATTCATCTTCCTCAGACTCCCCTCTACTTGCAAAGTTTCCTTACCTTTCTGCATTTCCAATGGATACAAAAAATAATCTTTCCCTTTATTTATTTGGTACCTGGAATCGAACTCATGACCTCGTGCTTGCCAGGCAGGTGCTGCTGAGCTATAACCCTGGGCCTTCCCCTTTATTTCTAATATTGTTGCCAACAACAAGAAGTTAGCATGATGGAAAAAAAAAAAAAAAAAAAAAAGGAGTGATTTGGGGAAATCCTCAGACTCAAATTATTATAAAAATAAGGTAACGTTAGTGACAAAATTATCTGCCACAGGCATTATGGGATTTCTCTCTCACCCTGTGCTTTCCCACCAGCATACCGTGGTCCCTCACTCCACGACACCCTCCAGAGAAGCAAGTCTGCAGATGCTCAGGGCTCTCCCTGTCATAATATTTTTATTCACATCTGCATAGCCTCCTCTTTGCTTTAAACCATCTCTAGATTGCTTATAGTACTTAATAACATGTAATGCTATATAAGTTGTATTATATTGTTAAGGAAATACAGCCAAGAAAAAAAGACTAAATTCAGTACACGTGTCCCTCTTTCACCGATAATTTTAGAAATATGGATGTTGGATAAACAGACAGATGCAAAACCAGAGCATGCAGAAAGACATCTGTGTGATTTTTTATTCTGAGGTTGTCAGCCTGCAACCCAACCATAACCACAACCTAGCTAAACTCTGGTCTTCCAAAATCAGTGTAAAAGGATGGACAGTTTTAAGCCATGCGTTGTGCTCTTGATAACAGGAAAGGTTCCGGTTACAATTCAAGGCCTGTGCCCTACTGACACAGGGAAAAAAGAACACGCCGGACAAAGAGCGGGGGACTTGGAGGGGTGGGGATGTGGCATGATTTGTATGCTGCATGGAATAGCCCGCTGCTCATCTCCTCTGGCTTGACAGAAGCAATAACTTGTTCTCTTTTTTTATTTTTGGTTTTCCTGACACACAGTAATGAGTTCTACTCAAGGACTAAAGAAGGAGAATCTTTAAATAATAAATTGCATTCCTGTAGCACGTAAAAGTACATTTATTAAATACTGGAAACACAAAGGAGGGAAACACTTTTAACAGTTCTTCTGCTTCCAGTCTGTCTAAGATAAAAGAAAATGCCCATGGAAAACAACTACTAAGAGAAATTAAATAAACAAACAAAATCCTTTAAAGATAAAAAGAAAATTAAAAATTAGAAAACAGAGCTTGATTAAGAAGATGGGTAATAATATTAAATGTGTTCTCTGTAACCAAATAATACATTGAGGCACTGCCTCATTTATATATAGGTTTTAGCCAATATAGCCCAATGTGGCACGCATCAACTCTCTGTAGACTTTCTTCAGTTATTTTAAAAACTTTCAGTTCAAGTATTAGCTAACCCTTTATTTCATTCATAAAGAACAATTTAAATAACTCACTTTTAGCATTTGGTGTTGGACATTCAACGCACTGTATCTGCTATTGGAGTCTTGCTGCAAATTGAAAAAAAAAAAAAAAAAAAAAAAGGTCACCAAGAGAAAACTAACCTGGTTTTCTTGCTAAGGACAGCTTCAAGCTCCTAATGAAAGGTTTTCATTTATTTCACTCATGTAGGCGAAAATGGATTCCATGTTTGAACCAGGGTATGGCCAGGGCCATCTCTACTTAATAGCAAAAATGAAGTTTCAATAGACTCACAGGATTGCCGCGTTTTAGTGATGAAAATGCAGGAATCACAAAATGCTAGGCCGGCAGGGCCCTTAGAGATTGCTGAGTTCTTCCTCTGGTATGTTAAGGAACTCAGGCCCAGATGCAGGCAGGACACTGGCGACACACTGGGCACACACAGTGGGCACACAGCGCTGGCACTGGGGTGAGGCAAGGGCCACACCTCCTGGGGCCAGGCTGCCCAGGCTCAGGCAGGGAAGAGAAAACGCGCTGCTTCCCTCCACTCTGGGGGGCCAGAAGTTCTACACACAGATTTCACCACCACGAGACTCTGTTACAGGGTGAGAAACTGAGAAGGGGGACCGGGCATGTTCAGGAGAGTACTACAATGAGCGGCCAGCCGGGAGTGGGCCCGGAGCCTGCAGGGGACTCCATGCCTGAACCTGCGCCTCTGTGGTCCACGGAGCATCTGCAGGAGTAGGGCTTCCTCACTGCTAAGCCTCGCGCACCCAAACCGTCAGCACGCGGAAGACGCCTGCAGCGCTCGTCCCCTGGCGTTGGGCCTCTGTAGACTACACCTCCTGGTTTTCTCTGGCCACCAACAAAAATACACACGCATACTCTTCTCATATTTTCGTAGCTTCTAAAACGGACTATAGGGCCCTCCAAATAGCTCAGCGGATTAAAGCACCGGCAAGCAGGCGCAGGGGCCAGGAGTTCTATCCCCAGGCCTGCCGTGCCGGCCCCGCCCTTGGGACGCGCCAAGAGGGTGACCGGGACTGCGCGTGGTGGCGCACCAACTGTAATCCCAGCTCTTGGGAGGCTGTAAACAGGGAGATCACTAGGAGTCCGATCTAGTAGTAAGACCCTGAACACCCTGTATACCGTTCTCTAAAATACAGGAAAAAAATAAAAAAGAAAT